AGTAGGAGGAGGCCATTCGGCCCTTCGAGCCTACTCAGCAATTTATCACGATCATATCTGATCATGCAACTCAAATAGCTTAATCTTGCTTTCTCCACATAACCTTTGATCCCATTCACCCCAAATGCTATATCTATCTGCCTCTTAAATACATTCAATATTTTGGCATCAACTACTTCCTGTGGTAATGAATTCCACAGGCTCACCACTCTTTAGGTGAAGACATGTCTCCTCATCTCTTTCCTAAGTGGTGTACCCCAAATCGTCATACACCATTGGGTCCTGTCCAATCCTGTTAGAATTTTATAAGTCTCTATGAGATTCCCACCATATTCGTCTGAACTCCAGCGAAAACAATCCCAACTGAGTCAATCTTTCCTCATACATCAGTCCTGCCATCCCCGGAATCAGCCTGGTAAACCTTTGCTGCACTTTGCGAGAGCAAGAGCATCCTTCCTCAGAAAAGGAGACCAAAATTACACACAATATTCCAGGTGTGGTTTCACCGAGGCCCTGTATAACTGCAACAACACATCCCTGTTCCTGTACTCTAAACCTCTCGCAATGAAGGCCAACATACCATTTACCTTCTTTACCCCCTGCTGCACCTGCATGCTTACCTTCAGCAACTGGTGCACAAGGACACCCAGGTCCCACTTCACACTCCCCCTCTCCCAATTTACAGCCATTCAGGTAGGAATCTGCCTTCTTGTTTTTGCTTCCAAAGTGAATAACTTCACATTTATCTACATTACACTGCATCTTGATTTGCCCACTCACCCAATCTGTCCAGATCATGCTAAAGGATCTCTGCATCCTCGTCACAGTTCACCCTCCCACCCAACTTGGTGTCATCTGCAAACTTGGAGATGTTACATTTTGTTCCCTCATCCAAATCATTAGTATATATTGTGAATAGCTGGGGTGCCAGCACCAATCCCTGGGGCACCCAACTCATTACTGCCTGCCAATTTTAAAAGGACTCATTAATTCGTACTCTTTGTTTCCTCTCTGCCAACCAGTTTCCTATCCTTCTCAATGCACTTTGCCCAATCCCATGTGCTTAAGAGTTCAGAAAAGATTTTCAAGGATGTTACCAGGGTTGGAGGGTTTGTGCTATAGGGGAGAGGCTGGCACTATATTCCCTGGAGCATTGAGAGTTGAGGGATAACCTTACAGAAGTTCATGAAATCATGAGGGGCATAGATAGGATGAATATCCAGCGTGTTTTCCCCAGGGTGGGAGAATCCAAAACTAGAGGGCATAGGTTTATGGTGAGTAGGAAAAGATTTAAAAGGGACCTAAGGGATAACTTTTTCATGCAGAGAAAAAGTAAGGGCCCGAACACCAATCCCTGAGGAACGCAACTTTCAATTCTATCCAATCCGAGAAATATTCATCTATACCTATCCTCTGTTTCCCAGCTTTTAACCAACTTCTAACCCATGCTGCCAAGGACCAAGGTTTGTGTATGAGCTACCAGAGGAAATGGTGGAGACTGGTACAGTTACAACATTTAAAAGGCAACTGGATTGGTAATTGAATAGGAAGGGTATAGAGGGATATGGGCCAAATGCTGGCAAATGGGACTAGATTTATTTAGGATATCTGGTCGGCATGGACAGGTTGGACCGAAGGGTCTATTTCCCTGCTGTACATCTCTATGACTCTATGAGTATGATATTTCTGGGTGCCTTTACTTCGCACATGGAGGGTAATGTAGTTGATGGGTGTAGTTTGGGAAGGATTTATGGTGAATCAGCATCTGATTATTCACTGGGCAAGCTTTCATTTTCCATTGGCTCAGGAAATATTGCCAATGTCTTTAATTTAAAGCCAAGTAAACGTGGAAGGGAGATAGGTTTTGGTAAGAAACCAGCTGCAGATTCACCGTGAGAAGATAACAGAAAGGTGCTAAAAGGACAGGCAGCACTCTGAGTAGAGAAGTCACCAGGCCCGGATGGGATGCATCCTAGATTGCTGAGAGAGGTACGGGAGCAAATTGTGGAGAGATTGACAGAAATTTTCCAGGCCTCTTTGAAGTAATCCCAGGGGACTGGAGGATTGAAAATGTGACACCATTGTTAAGGGTAACCGAACAATCTATAGATCTGTCAGATTGACATCAATAGTGGGAAAACTGATGGAGGCCATGATGCGGATAAGGTAAATATACACTTAGAGAAAAATTAGTTAATACTTGACAGTCAACTTGGCTTTGCCAAGGGCAGGTCATATCTGATAAATTTGATTGAGTTCTTTGAGGTGACACAGGCAGTGGATGAGGATAGTGCTGTGCATGTTGTATATTTCAATTTTCACAAAGCGTTTGATAAGGTGCCACTTGGCAGGTTAGCAAATTGGAAATGTTTGGGATTGATGGGTCCTTGGCAGCATGGGTTAGAAGTTGGCTAAAAGCTAGGAAACAGAGGATAGGTATAGATGGATATTTCTCGGATTGGATGGAATTAAAAGTTGTGTTCTCTAGGGATTGGTGTTCGGACCCTTACTTTTTCTGATTAAGATAAATGATTTGGAGATGGGTGTTGGGGGCAGAATCTCTGAATGTGCAGATTATACTAAGTGAGGGACAATAATGAATTGTGGGGATGATGCAGAGTGTCGTCAGAGAGACTTTGACAAGTTGGCCAGATGGTCAGACAGCTAGCAGATGAATCTCAATGCAGAGAAATGTGAGGTAATGCATTTTGTTGGGACAAACACAGAGACACGATACAGGCTCAATGGTACAACTTTGAAGGGATTACAGGAGCAGAGGGACCTCGGGGTTCATTTGCCTGATTCTCTGAAGGTGGCCAGGCAAGTTGATACAGTTATTAAGAAGGCTTATAGGATGTTTGGGTTTATAAATAGAGGCAGAGTATAAAAGCAGGGAAGTGCTGCTACACCTCTACAAATCATTGGTCAGACCACATTTGGAGTATTATGTTCAGTTCTGGGCACATTATTTAAGGAAGGGTGTTAAAGCCTTGGAGAGAGTTCAAAGGAGATTTATTAGAATGATACCAGGAATAAGGGATTTTGGATACAAGGTAAAATTAGAGAGATTATTCTCAATGGAGGAGAGAAGATTAAGCGGTGACCTTTCAGAGGTGTTCAAAATTGTAAACAATTTTGACAGGGTATGGAAGGTTATTTTCTGTTTCCACTAATGGTTATGTTAGTATCTAGGTGTCACAATTTCATGATTGTCAGTAAGAGAGCTAGGAGTGAGATGAGGAGAAACTTCTTCACTCAGAGATTTGTTAGGATTTGGAATATGTTGCCTGGGAGACTGGTGGAGGCAGATTTCATAAGAGATTTCAAAAGACAGCTGGATATATATTTGAAAATTTAGAGGACTACGGAGATAGGGCTGGAGACTGGGACTAACTGGGTAGCTCTTTCAGGAGCCAGTACAGACACCTTGGATTGAATGGCCTCCTTCTATGATTCTATGAGACTGCTTGGCATTGTTGTCATAGACCCAAGTCACCCTGATGATTTGTAGCCAGTGAAAACCATTTAAGCTACTAATATTAGCCTATTCGTGAAAATGTAATAGTTCCTCAACATAGAAAACCTGTCAGCTAGCATTTTTAAAAATTATTGTGCAAAATATTAGAAGCAAGAATAATATTGTTTAACAATCACAGTGCATTCACAATACAACCATTACTTACATTGTTACAAACAAGTCTTTAAAATTCTAATTCTATCAGTTGGGTGTTTAAAATGAGGAATAATAGAATGTTTAACCTAGTATCAGTTGTCATCCTCAAAAACATACTTCCTCTGCATGATTTCACCTTTTAAAAAATGTGATTACTGAATGATGATGTAAATAAAGAGAGATAAGCCTGTTGGAGCATGGGCTGGAACTACTGTGAAGTTTTGTTGCCTACTTATAAAATGTGTTGTAATATCCATCTTAAAAATGTTGTTAATAGCACACAATTACAAAGCTGTGTTTCAGCAAATGTCTGAAGTGCTGTTCGTATAACAAACACATTTCAAGACCTCCAAGAGTAATTTGAGTTTGTGAGCCAACTGTTTCTTAGTGGTTGCTTTACAAAGTTCAATAAGCTGATATATTCAGGAATCCTGAACATTAGCAATCTCTTTGCTTCTGGTAATAAGATCCATACAATTATTGCAAACATTTTCTGGAACTGATGATATTTCTCTTTGCAAAACAGAGGATTTCATAAATTGTAGTGTCGTGCACAATGAAGAGCTTGTGGACTATACTTTTTAATTAGCTTTACATTTTGGAACAGAAACAATAATGCATTCTATTTATGGCCACTTATTTTATAATTTTAAACCTCTAAAGAAAAATTCGAATTCTAATTCTTCTGAATTTGCAGGAAAAATGTTTTTAAAAATTCTGATTATAACAGACCAGGCAACATAGAGTTTAAATTTACTCAAATGTTTCACCTGAATATATCTTTGCATGCTGCACAATCAGAATAAATTAAATAGATGCGTGTATGATTTCAGAAAACACTCACCTGTGTATTTGTAGCACAGAATTCTACCAAATTAGATGCTAAAATGCAAATATTGTCGTTCCACTCAACAGAATTTATATTAGAAAATCCTTAAGGACTCTTAAGGAATATTAACGCTTACAGAATCAATCTAATTGATTGATTAGATCAATAAGCATACAATCTTTTGGTATAAGCGATTGTAAATTAAGCACTGCAATTTTTTTTGCAATTTGTTATCCTTCTGGGTCAGTTTTCTCCACCCCATCCACACATTGCTTTGTCCCATTTTACATGGAAAGATCTTACAGTAACTTGCACATTACTGTCAATGGTGCTCAATACCATTAATGCAGATTTTATTAACACCTGACTGGTGAGTAACATCACCCTAAATTGATGGAGAAAGTAGGCATTAACTAATATACAATTGTTTGAACATTAACAGATCAGACATTGTGACCTTCAAATAACGTTTCCCCACTTAGATAATAAGTTTCCAGTTCAAGGCGATATCTTTAGTGGTTTGCCATCCTTGTCATATTGATACACCAGCATCTTGATACAATGGGAATTGGCTGGAGAGATCCACGGGCTGCTGGTGATGGAAAAGTTGTGATTTGTATAAAAGTGTACTGGCTGTTTCTGGCACTTAATGAAGGCCTTCAGTGTCCCAGCCGCCATAGTACGGAACCGTTTACTGATAAAGCAATAAAGGAAGAAATTGATGGCAGTGTTTAGCAAAGCAAGCATATTCGCGATGTCTGATGCTATATGCACTAACCAGCCATTATTTATTGGTGATACATAAACGTAATAGAGGATCATCACCATCCTTGGTGCCCACAGTATTGCAAATATGGTGGTAATCGTGAGCAAAATAGCTGTTGTCTTCCCTGTGGAGTAGCCCCTCATGCGAAAATGACTTTTCCTTTTGAGTTTATGAATAATAATTGAATTCAGAACAAAAAAAATGGAACATGGCACCAAGTACACAGTAAAACAGTGGACCCAGATCAGGATCTGATGCATGGAAGTACTTGTATAACTTTCACTCCAGATGTTGGGCCACCAGTAATATGGTACACTGGTCAAGAAGCAGATGATGTACACACTCAGTATCACCTTCCGAGTACGTGCAGGATATGACACGGTATGGTATTTCAGTGGATGGCATACAGCAATGTATCTATCAATGGTCAAAGGAACAGTTATCCAAATAGATGTGTGATTGGAAGAGAATTCTAGGACTCCAATTATTTTGTCCAATACGTGAGGGAGCTGTCGGCCCAGAATGAAGTCTTCGAGCAGAAAGTCGAGAAAAACAATGAAGAAAAGGACAAGTATATCAGCAGCAGCTAGTGCCAGGAGATAATTGTAGGAGGACTTCTGTCTCCGAGCCACCAATCGCGAGAGGATGATTACCGTCAGAATGTTAGCTAGGAAACAAAGAAAAGTTAATTCAGACATTCATGAACTTCAAGGCGATTTGTCACCTGAAAGTTTCTTGTGCATTTAGTTACTACATTTAGCTAAATTAATCAAAGTAATCTCTCAGTTGCCTTTGGGCAATAAACTTCCACTTCCATTCAAATTATTCCTTCACGTAAATTTTAATTTTGTGCTACTACATCTGAAAATAATATCATTTTGATCTTTTCCTTGAGAGGTGATACATTTTGACAGGTTTAATAAGGGAAAACATACACAATGAATGGTACGTCCCTAGGGAGTACTGAGCAACAAAGGGACCTTGGTGTACATGCCCATAGATCCCTGAAGATGGCAGCACAGGTAGACAGAGTGATAAAGGTGGCATATGGGATACTTACCTTCATTAGCCGGTGCATGAAATATAGGTGCAAAGAAGTCTTGTTACAACTTTATAAACCATTTGTTGGGCCACAGATGGAATACTTTGTGCAGTTCTGGTCACTATTCTACCAGAAGGATGTGATACCCTGGACAGGCTGCAGAGGAGATTCACCAGGATGTTGCCTGGGATGGGATGGAAAGTCTCAGTTATGAGGAGAGACTGGATCAGCTGTGTTTGTTTTCCCTGGAGCAGAGGAGGCTGAGGAGGGGAATCTGACTGAGGTATACAAAATTATGAGAGGTATAGACAGTGTAGATCATGAGTATCTCTCTCTCATGGCAAATGTGTCTCAGACCAGAAGGCATAAGTTTAAGGGGAGAGGTAAGTGGTTTTGAGGAGATCTGAGAAATCTTTTTTTCACCCAGAGGGTGGTAGAAATATGGAACATGCTGCCTGAGAGGATAGTGGAGGTGGGTACTCTTTCATAATATTTAAGATGCATCTGGATGGGCACTTATAATGCCAAGGCACAGTAGGCTATGGACCAAGTGCAGATAAATGGGATTAGTATAGTTTGGTGTTTGTTGGTCAGCATAGACATGGTGGGCCTAAGGGCCTGTTTCTTTGCTGTATGGCTCTATAGATAAAACGTGACCCAATATTGCTGTCTTTGATATCCTCCTCAGAGCCCTGAGATGACATGGTGTCCAAGTCAGCAGCACATTTTAGTGTGCTCACCAGATGCAGAGAGGGGCTCTTCTCCAACATCACACCCCCCATTACAGTTGGAAGCATTAACTACAAAGTTAAATTATCAATTAAGTTTTGACCAGCATTTTCAGTTCTTTGTTCGAACAGACTGACACTCTGGATTTGATCTGTGTTTCAAAAATGTCTCACCTTGAAAACTATTTCTCATTTATCACCAAGGATTCTATTGGCAGAAATGTGCATCAATCCATTTCCTTAAAGTCACTGAATCAGACAATACTGGCTCCACCCCACCTCCTTGACCTGTCCATCTACTTTCCATCTATCTGCTCCTCTTTCCACCTTCCATCATCGCCTCCCCCTCTTTCTATTTATTTCAGAGACCTTTCCCCTCCCCCATTTCAGAAGGAGGGTTCAGACCCAAAACATCAGTTTTCCTGCTCCTCTGATGCTGCTTGGCCTGCTGTGTTCTTGTTATCTCAGATTCTCCAGCATCGGCAGTTCCTACTATCTCCCAATATAAATAGAACATAGAACATAGAACATAGAACAGTACAGCACAGTACAGGCCCTTCAGCCCACAACGTTGTGCTGAACTTTTACCCCTAACCTAAGGTCTATCTAACCTCCACCCCTACCTTATACTATCATCCATATGCCTATCTAATAGTCGCTTAAATGCCCCTAATGAGGCCGAATCCACAACCCTCTCCGGCAATGCATTCTACGCCCCGACCACTCTCCAAGTAAAGAACTTACCTCTGACGTCTCCCCTATATTTACCTCCACTCACTTTAAAACTATGCCCCCTCGTATTGGTATCTCCACCCTAGGAAAAAGTCTCTGGCTATCCACTCTATCTATACCTCTGATCATTTTGTACACCTCTATCAAGTCACCTCTCACCCTTCGTCGTTCTAAAGAGAAAAGCTCTAGCTCTCTCAACCTTTCCTCGTAAGATCTTCCCTCCATTCCAGGCAACATCCTGGTAAATCTCCTCTGCACCTTTTCCTACGCTTCTACATCTTTCCTGTAACGAGGCGACCAGAACGGGACACAATACTCCAGATGTAGCCGAATCAAAGTTTTGTATAGCTGGAGCATAACTTCACGGCTCTTGAACTCAATCCCTCTATTAATGAAAGTTAACACACCATATGCCTTCCTAACAACTCTTTACACCTGGGTGGCAGCTTTCAGGGAACTGTGAACATGAACCCCAAGATGCCTCTGCCCTTCTACACGGCTAAGAATCTTTCCGTTAACCCTGTACTCTGCTTTCAAATTTGTCCTTCCAAAATGAATCACCTCACACTTTTCAGGGTTAAACTCCATCTGCCACTTCTCAGCCCAGCTCTGCATCCTATCAATGTAACCTAGAACAGTACTGGTTAGGAATGAGAAGGATTTTCACTGGGATGGGGCAAATAACATACTTGCTTTAAAATAAGCTGTTGTCATGGCGACAGGATTTACAAATGTCATATTGGCTCAAGGGCTCAGGGTGTGGGAGAATGAAACTGACCCCAACTATCCAGAGGAAAACCCACAAAAGGCCTTACCACAAAATGGGAAGGATAATTCTGCCCCTTGAGCCTGCTCCACCATCATTAACCTGTTCGTGTTTCCAATTCCACATTCCCATCCATCCCCAATAACCCTTCATTTTCCTGGTCTAATAAGAATTTACCTACATCCACCTCTAAAACATTTAATGACTCCACATTGAATGCTTTCTGAAGCACAGAGTTCCAACACCACACCACTCTCTGGGAGAAAAACAAGTTCTCCTCATCTCAGTCCCCTCATTCTAGAGTGACCCAATAAAAGGAGAACATCCTTTTCCATGTCCACCTTGCCAAGACCATTAAGGATCCGAAACACTTCAATCAAGTGGCTAACTTACCAGAGCCCTCTTCACATTTCGAACATGACACCCTATTTTTAACCTGTTCTTCTGAGCAGCTGGTATCCAAACAGTCACCTGAAGCTACATTTGGGGTGGGGGTGCCTGAGGTCAGGGGGCTCCTCTTTAAACTGCAGATTGTATTTGAGTACCAGGAGTTTCTGGCTGTGATTTTAACTCTGGAACAGGATTGTGACAACACTGAAGCTGTTCAGACAAAAACTGGGATGTAAATAAAACCAAGAACTGAAGACGCTGGAAATCTGAAACAGAAATTGCTAGAGAAACTCAGCAGGTCTTACGGCAAGTGTGGATAGAGAAATAGAGTTAATACTTTGAGTCCAGTGACTCTTTGTTAGAATAGAAAATTGGGATATGGCAGTTTCTGCATTTGACTGAAACATTTCTGATGGAAGGTCACTGGATCCGAAACATTAACTCTGTTTTTCTCTCCACAGATGCCGCCAGACCTGCTGAGTTTCTCCAGCAATTTCTGTTTTTGTTTCAGATTTCCAGCCTCCACAGTTCTTTGGTTTATTTAAGGATTTTACCTCTCTGCATGGGCAAAGGAGGAGCAGGACTACTCTGACAGCATTTGGAATACTGTCTAAGGGCTAAACTGAATGCAGTTCAATCCGCTGTGGTTTCTTCCAGGCCCAGTACCATCAAGGCCACATGGCCTAGCCACAGCCCTGGAGGAGGCTGGAATAATTAATATCACTGATTTCAGAAAATGCGCTGTGTTCAGGCCTCCCTCTCAAGGCCAAACACACAGAGGGTCTTCAGAGCTGCAACAGCAGCAGATTATCCTCAAGATTCCAGACATATCCTTTAATTTAGCCTTTGCACTGCCACTTCAATATATTAAGCTAAACACTGGAATTATGTTCAATTTACAAATTACCTGCAAATTATCTCCGAGACTATAAACATCACATGTAAACTGCCAAGAATATTTAACTGTAAATTGCCTTAAAATAGTTCACCATGGTCCTAGAGCTGAATAATTTGCATTATTTACAGCTGGATATAAAGAATGATGGATATCTGGCGGAGCCGAAGACAATTTGACTGAGTTATTCAGATGCCCTCGAACAACTGAATGAAGGTTGGACAGTTTATAAAAATGTCAGGTCAGTAAATTACTGTCTTTGACTCATTCCCAGCTTCTTGTGGACGGTTAGTGTGACATAGCTGCAGCAACTGTAGCAACTTTGAAACAGTTTAACCTGCTATTTCCATGTTTCCATGAGTGTCTGGAATTCGCTGCCTGAGTTGGTGGTGGAGGCAGAGACCCTAAACTTTTTAGAAAGTACATGGATCTGCACCTTCAGTGCTGTAAGTTGCAGGGCTGTGGGCCATGTGCGGGAAGGTGGGATTTGAAAGTGGGTGTCTTTGCGTTGGCATGAACAAGATGGGCTGTATGGCACCCTTCTGTGCTGTATCATTTCTGTGGTTCTAGGGCTTTGTAAAATATGAGACATGGTGGTATTTAAAGTTACAGCAAAACTCTGCAAAAGTAGGCATAATCTCCTTGGCAACAGAGATCCTGGCTTCAACTGGGGTTTGGATAAGAGACCTACATTCCTGATCCTGATCTAGACACTGGTGTGGAAACGTTGTCAGGGGTAGGAGGCTTTTGTTCAGCAAGTGTCATGGAACAGCCCATTGTCTACCATCAGGAAATCACTCCCCAACCCCCTGGCCCTCCCAGGTTCCCAGGAAGATCAAGGACCCAGGGCCCAAGTTTAAGTACTGGGCTGGACTGGGCTGGGCTGGGCTGGGCTGGGTGACTGTGGGCTGGAGATTGTGGGGAAACAGGCACAGGGTTGTTGGATGCAAGGGCAGGATGTGACGTCCCAGTACTCACCCGCTGCCCATGGTCCACAGATTGCCTTCGGTCAAATGGATGTTTCCCTCATGTGAGAATCTAGGGCCAGAGGCACAGTCTCAGAATAAAGGGGCACCAATTGATGACTGAGATGAGGAGGAATTTCTTTGGAGTC